AATTTGGAATAGAACCACCCTTTGACCCAGCAATCCCACTCCTCAGTTTATACCCAAAGGACTTAAAATCAGCACACTACAGTGACGCAGCCACCTCAATGATTATAGCAGCTCAATTCACAAAAACTAAACTATAGAACCAACCTAGGTGTCCTTCAGTAGACGAATGGATAAAGAATATGTGGTATATATATTCAATGGAGTATTACTCAGCTTTAAAGAAGAATGAAATTATGGTATTTGCCAGTAAATGGGGATGGAGTTGGAGAATATCATGCTAAGCAAAATAAGTCAATCCCCAAAAAACAAAGGCCGAATGTTTTCTCTAATATGCAGATACTAATTCACAACAAGGCGTGGGGCACTAGAGAAGAATAGCATTATCTAAGATTAGGTAGAGGGAAGTGAAGGGAGGGGAGTGGAGGTGATGTGGGGATAGGAAAGATAGTAGAATGTAACAGGCACAATTATTGAGGATCAGACAAGATGACTTTCAGTCTTAGGGGAGAATCAGTGTTTTTGCTTTTTCCAGTTTCCAGAAGTCATCTGCATATCTTGGTTTCTGTTCCCTTTCACATACAAAATCAACAGTGGTCGATGGAGTCATTTCCACACCCTATCACCCGGACACACATTCTTCTGCAAGCCTCTTCCACACATAAGAATTCCTATGATTACATGGGGTCCACCTGGAAAATTCAGGCGAATGTTCCTATCTCAAAGCTGCTAGCACTCTTAATTCAATTAGCAACTTGAATTTATCCATTCCTTAGGATAATACTAGGTTCTGGAATTTAGAATGTGGGTATCTTCCCCCCTCCCTCAGTACTGGGGATTGAACCCAGGGAACTTACCACTGAGCTACAAACCCAGCCTTTGAAATTTTTTTTCTTTATTTCGAAACAAGGTCTCACTAAGTTTCCCAGACTATCTCCTGTCTCAGCTTCCTGGGTAGCTGACTGATATCCCAAGCCTGTGCCACCCTGCCTATCTGGAATGTAGTCATCTTTGAGTGATCATTATTCTGCCTGCCACAAAAATGTACATAGGTTTAGAGATACATAGCCTGCTTCTCATTTGGTGCCCTGGAGGCTTAGCACACAAGAATTCTTCACACCATCATGGGCGGTGAGAGCTCTCTGTGGTTCTCTAGCCCCAGGATGGACGTGGGTATAACTGAGAGAACTAGCAGGCCTGAGAAAGGCCCACCAGTTGAGAAACAATTTTTTTTTTTTTTTTTAATGACTGAGAATCAACTCTGTGATTGGGGACTAGATGGGGATTTGTGTGTCCCTAAGGGGTTCAAGTGCTGGGAGCTTGGTTCCTAACGTGGCAGTGCTGAGTGTTGTTGTGGAAGTTTTAAGAGTTGGAGCTTAGTGGAGCTTTTAGAAGGGATTAGGGTAGCTCTCATGGAACTCTGAGCGTTCAAGAGAGTGAGTTGGTTAAAGAGTGAGCTCTTAGTGTTAAGTCATTTGCTTGTTGACTTGTTCTTCTTTTAAGGAATGAACTCTGTGCAATGAACCTTCCTAGACGAACTCTAGATAGGACAGAGGGGTTGGAGAGAAGGGGAGGGGTTATTAATGATGGTGGAATGTGATGATCATTGCTATCCAAAGTACATGTATGAAGACATGAATTGGTGTGAATACACTATGTATACAACCAGAGATATGAAAAATTGTGCTCTATATATGTAATAAGAATTGTGATGCATTCTGCTGTTATATATGAATTTAAAAAATTACATAAAAAAGAATAATCTCTTTGGCTTCCTGTTTTGAGATGTGATCTTCCTCCCACATATACTCCTGCTGTGACACCACCTGCCATTAGGTTCTTTCCAGACGCCAAGCCAATGGGACCTACCTGATCTTGGAACTTGGAACTAGGAGCTAAAAAAATCCGTTTTTTTTTCTATAAAGTGAAACTGCCTTGGGTATTCTATTATAGTAAGAGAAAATGGATGAATACAGACATCTCAGAGGAAGCCAGCATGGAGGCATAATTACTGAGGGCCAGACAAGATGGCTATCAGCCATGTCAACAGGAGATGCTGGTGATGGAAGAACATTAACCCTTCACATGACAAACTCCTGCCTCAAAGGCAGAAGAAAACCTTTGAATTTACTCCCCAATTTTTAAAGTGATTTAGAAAACTCTGAAGTTATTGAAACCCCCCCCCCAATATGACTAAGATCAAATTTCTGTCACCAGGCTGAATGAGAATCTGAGATAGAAACTAGTTTGTTATAGAAAAATCATGAAAATTCATATATCATACTTCCGATTTGATGCTCCATATACACTGGGACAATGATGCTGTGTCGACCTTTCTGACAGAATACTGGACAGATTACTTTATTTGCAAGCACTTGGCAAACTGAAGGCTTAACGGAACTGTTATGTGTTCTCCTGGCTGAGCTTCAGTCACCTTTTTTTTTTCTTAATTTATTTTTTAGTTTTAGGTGGACACAATATCTTTTTATTTTATTTTTATGTGGTGCTGAGGACCAAACCCAGTGCCTTGAGCATGCCAGGTGAGCGCGCTATCACTTGAGCCCCAGCCCCAGCCCAGCTTCAGCCACCTTTGCACGAGGAAGAAGAAGAGGAGGAGGGGGAGGAGGAGGAGGAGTAGCAGCAGCAGTAGTAGTAGTGGTAGTTGTTGTTGTTTTTGTTTTTACCTAGGTGAGGAGAACAATGAAATCAAATCCAGGAAGTATGAGATGTGACATTCTGTTGAGATTGTTTCCACATAGTTGTTGTGATACATTTTTAAAAAGTCATTAAGCTTTTAGGTTAGTTTTTAAAAAAATTTTAATTTTTGTTTTTTTTTTTTAGATGTTGCCCATACTGCTCTCTAACTTCTGAACTCAAGTAATCCTCTCTTTTCTGCTGTCCAGGTGCTGAGATAATAGGCATATGCCACTGTACTTCTTTTATTTTCTATTTTTTTAAAGACCAGGTAAAATGTTAAAGATAAATCCTCAGTCAGTTCTGTTCCTTGCTCAGAGGCTCACCAGAAGTGAGGTAGCAGCTGGGCAGCAGAGACAGGGCTGATTCTCTTTCTGGGTGGAATCCGTTGGGAGGTGGCTACCTTCAGTGTCTCCGTTCGGCTCTCTATGGTGTCCTCTCTGGTTTTTCGTTATAAGCATAATGACCATGATGTCAAAAGTTACCTTAAAAATCACTGACAGGAATCCCTTTGGAAAAAAGCAGTCAGAGGAAGAAGTCATGAAGAACTGTAAAGTTAGAGGCTGCAGACAGATTTAATTGCTTTATGGTTTGGTCTTGTAATAATGAAGTATTCAGAAGGATCTGAGAGACTGACAATTGGTGAGAGCCTTTATTTGATGCTGGAGGTGTGGGCTCTGGCACCACGGAGCATTGGGCCTTCTGACTGGCTATCTGGCTTCCTCAACGTGAGCCAAATTAGTAGGCCTGTCCCATTGGCCTGGGCCCCAGAATTTATTATGGACTTTTTTTTTCTTTTTTTTTTATATTATGGACTTTATTATGGAGAAAATTATTGTGGTCAGTGGGTTAGTCATTAAAATATGAATGGTTACTAAAAATTTTGCTTTGTATTTTGTGTCAGTCAACTTTCTGTCCCTGTACCAAAATGCCTGAGATAATGAACTTGTAAAGAAAAAAGATTTCTTTTATTCCAGGCCATGTTCAGACAGACCCATCATTTTTAGGCCTCTGGCAATGGTGGGGAGTGTGTGGCAGAACAAACTGCAGGTCTGATCGCCAGGAAGCAAGAGCCAAAGAGGAAGGGGACAATCCCCTTCAAGGGATTGTCACCCCTGATGACCTAAGTACGTCTCACTAGTCCCCACCTCCTAAAGGTTCCATAACCTTCCATAGTGCCACCTTGGGGATCAAGTCTTTAACATGTGGACCTCTGGAAGACATCCATGATCTACAGCAGAGTTTAGGTAAATGAAAGAATAGTAATCGTGACATTAGTATTTGTATTAATAACATTTATCGTGTACTTACGATGTGTCAGGTACCATGCTTAACTTACATAGTAAGGAAAGAGTTCTGAGAGAAAAGGATGATTATTACCTGCATTTTGGAGTCAAAGAAGCTAGGGCTCAGAGAGGTTGTGGTTCCCTGCCTAAGGTCACCCAGCTTATCAGTGACCAAGCCTGGGCTTACACCTCATCTCTGACACTGTAGTCTGAGTGCTCAGGGCTGTGGGGAGCCTCAAATGAATTATGGATTTCTCTGAACCATCCCTAGGCAGAACTCCTGGTGGAAATACACCAATGGAGACTGCTCAGTTGCTGGCGGCACTCTGTTTAAAGAGGCTTCTGTGCCTCACAACATTTATTGGTTCAATAGCCTTGGGTTCAAACGTCAGCTGCCCAGAGGTAGAAGAGATATGGGCGCAAGCTGATAAGCTTTTAATAGGGTGGTTCCTGTTCGAAAGCTTGTTTTTGTTTATCTTGAAGAAGCTTTCTCACAATACATCCTTTTGATGTTTACACCTGTGACAAACACGTGGAGCCTGCTCTGGTGTCAGTCCGGCCTCATGAGGGCTGGCTTGTCTACTGGGTCCTGCTTTCTCTATATTTGTGTGTTCCTTTGTCTTTATTTCCAATCCCCTCATCACCCCAAGTTTAGGGGAAACTGAATAAATACTTTGATAGGGCCATCTATTTCCTTTCATTCCGTTGCTGGAGGGAACTCTGTCTTGGCCTTGGGGTGATGCGTCTATTGTCCTCAAGGGAAAGGAGTGTGGGGTGGGACTCACCTGGAACCACCCTCTGGCCCCAGCAACTGGCAGGGAGGCGACGAACCACCTGGAGCTCATCCTCCACCAGGTCAGGCATGGATCTGGCTTCAGAAAGCCATTAGGGCAGAGTTAGAGGGAGTTTCTGGACTCCTGAGGCCCTGAAGGGTCTCACATAGGGCTCTGCTCATGGGGGGTGAGGGTGGTGGGATGGGAAAGGAAAATGGAGCTCAATAACACTGCTGTGTAGAAACCAGACTGCAACAATTTTTTCAGTTTATATTGTCCACGGACCATTACAACAGAAGCATTTTTGTAAGGATAAAGCTAGATACAACAATATTAATAACAGATACATACAGCTCATTGACTTTACACAGTCCCTTCCCAACAATCGGAGGTGATTCTTGTGATCCTGGAATATAAATGTGACATCACTATCATGTTCTGGAAAAAAAAACCCAGACATATTGCTACAGAAGGGATGCAGATTTTCTAGATGTCACCCAAGAGCAGCAGCAGGTAGGAGACCAAGGCCAAGGAACTCACATCTTATGGTTTTCATAAATAAGAGGGGGCACATCCCTCTGAGGTTTTTGAACATTTTAAATTCTTTCCATTGTCAAGGTGTCGGGCAGTTCTGGCGACATGATGTCTTTCAGACTCTTAACTCCAGTTGGCAAACTGGACGTCCTATCAGTCTGCATACTTTTCTTCCTCTGGACCATGATTCAGGTCATGGCTGTCCATGATTTACAGGGCAGGCATTTCTACACACACACACACACACACACACACACACACCACTTTTCTTTTCTTTTAATATTTATTTTTTAGTTGTATTTGGACACAATATCTTTAGTTAATTAATTAATTTTTATGTGGTGCTGAGGATGGAACCTGGGGCCTCGCCTGTTCTAGGCCAGCGCTCCACCGCTGAGCCACCACCCCATCCCCCCACTTTTCTTTTCTTTTAAAGAAGGTGTAGGTGGGCAGCTTAAAGCCTTGGTTTCATCTCTGAGCTGTTGGGTGAGATATAGCAGTGAAAGAGACTTCAGATGGGAATGACAGCAAATCTGACCATGACATAACATTCTGACAAACACCATCACAGAATACATGGCCCTTCCTTCCTTCCTTTCTTTCTTTTTAAATTGTTTTTTAATTGTAAAGGGATCAATAGCCCATTGACTGCCATTTAAAGCAGGGCGACTAAGTTGGGGCGTTTGATGCGTCTATTGTCCCATTTTCCTCAAAGGAAAGGAGTGTGCGGTGATTCCTCATCCCTGCGATTCCAAGAAACCTCTCTCTATTCTTCCTGGCCAGTTCTTCTTCCTTTCTAGGAATGCAGTATGTTTTCCGTGACCGTGCTGCCTCCCCCGCTGATGACGAAGCTCCGTGAACTGGACACAACAAGTGCTGGGGACATCTCTTCCGGATCCTCCATCTCTGGCTGGTGGGCCCCGGCCATGGGCCCCTGCAGGCCTGTTTCCTGGGTGGTCAGCTCTGAGTCTGTCTCCCCACACTGCAGCGGGAGCAGTGCCTGGTGTCTGGTCAGGGCATCGCTGCTTCTCTGGGCCTCCAGGGAGTTTTGATGCGTGGAATTCCTGTGAGCCATGGCGTTCTTCTGAGGTTCGTCAAAGCTCAGGGAGAAGGTGACGGTGCCACTGCCGAAGATGACCTTCTGCTTGCATCGCTGCTGCTGCTGCTGCTGCTGCTGCTGCTCTTGCTGGGTCAGGGCCAGCGGCTGCTGCTGCTGCTTCTGCCTCTCGGGCTGCGGGAAGGGGTCTTCGCTGTTGCTCTTGCTGCTGATGGAGGAGGAGGGGAGGGATCCCGTAGAGCCCCCGAGGCTGTTGGACCGCTTTCGGGAGACATTGCTGCGGCGCAACGTGGCCCGGGCTGCCACCTTGAAAGCGTGCGCAGCGGTGCTGCAGCGCACCTCCTCGATGGTGTTCCGCGAGGGCTTGAAGAGGATGATGTAGACCTTGTTGAAGAAGATGCAGGCCAGCAAGCCGAAGCTGGCCGCCAGGATGGCGATCACCTCCACGGCAGAGACAAACTTGCCGTAGGTGCTGGCATAGGCTGGAATGAAGGAGATCCAGACGATGAAGAAGATGAGCATGCTGAAGGTAATGAACTTGGCCTCGTTGAAGTTCTCCGGCAGCTTCCGGGACTTGAATGCGAAGAAGAAGCAGATGGCAGCCAGGAGACAGGTGTAGCCAATCAGGAAGCCCAGCGCCATGAGCGAGCCCTCGTGGCACGTGATGAAGATGATCTCATCCTCCAGCTCGTGGTTGCGGTAGCTGGAGGGGGGCGCCGTGTAGAGCCAGATCGCACAGATGACGATCTGCATGAAGGTGCAGAGGAAAACCAGCAGGAACTGCAGGTTGAGCCCCCACCACTTGCGGTGGAAGCTGGTGGGGATCTTGGCTTCAAACACCAGGAGGACGCGGTTGGTTTTCACCAGGATGCACGAGATGCAGAGCACGAAGCTGATGCCAAAAGCCGGCTGGCGCAGGCGGCACGTCCAGTCCTGGGGCTCTCCGATGAAGAACAGGGAGCTGGAGAAGCAGCAGAGCAGGGAGAAGAGGAGGAGGTAGGAGAGCTCTCGGTTGGTGGCCTTCACGATGGGCGTGTTGCGGAACTTGATGAAGACACCCAGCACGAAGGCTGTCAGGAAAATGCCCAGCACCGCAAAGAGGGTGAGCGCGATCCCAAAGGGCTCGGTCCAAGACAGAAACTCAATCTCCTTGGCGATGCAGGAAGTGTGGTTCTCGTTGGACCAGAAGTCATCCGGGCACTTGATACAGGCACTGGCATCTGTAAAATGTCCCAGTGGGCGGTTAGCTACCGTGTGGCATAGACCAACATCTGTGAGTGTGTATATGTGGCGGTGAGAGCACACAGGTTGTTTGATTTGGTCACTGTATACTTTCTTTATTGATAAAATCATTGTGATTTTTACACTATCAAAAACTATGTACTAGCCAGGCACAGTGGCCCATGGCTGTAATCCCAGAGACTGGGGAGGCAGAGGCAGGAGGATTGCAAGTTTTAGGTTAGCCTCAGAAACTTAGCAAGACCCTGTTTCAAAATAAAAAAATAAAAATAAAAAGGACTGAGGATGTAACTCAGTGGTAAATTTTAATCGCCAGTACTAACCAATCAGCCACAAAAATCCTAAAGCAGAACAAAAAACTATGAACCTTTGACTGCTCTGTTAGTTGTTTTGCTTTTCCTTTGTATGTGTGTGTGCGTGGGGGGGGGCACTTGTTTCTTTTCATGCTATCTGCTGATGGTTTGGAGTAGAGATGGCCCTGCATGCCAAAGGTCTAGCATGGTCCATCAGCTGTGCACAATACAACTCAATTTAGCATGATTTGTTTATTTTTAAAATAAATTTTATTGTGCACACTTGAGGTATGAAACACAATGTTGTGGGATATGTACAGACTGTAAAATGGTGACTATGATAAAGTAGATTAACACATCTATGAACTCACATTCATCTTGGTTTATTTTGCATATGTGTATGGACTCTTCAGACATGCCAGAGAAAAAATTCTTTTAGATCAGGGCAGAGCATTCTATGAATATGGCCTGTGTTTCCCTCTCTCTATCCACATCCATGGATTTCCAATGAGGGAGGCTGCAGATTTACTCAAGCAACAGAGATTTGCTAAATCTTGATATGTGTCAGGTAGTGTGCAGTTTGGGGCAGTGAAAGGGAGCACGGATTTTTTAGTTAGAGATCTGGATGGGATCCTGGCCAGGCCATTTACCAGCTCATCAACCTCTCTGAGCCTCAGTTTCTTCATCTGTACTATGAAACCAATGATAAGCACATTTTTTTGTGTGTGTTGAGAATTGAATAATAACAGTAATAACAGTGTAGTTAATATTTATAAAGTGCTTTTAATATACTAATCAAAGATGTATTTAGCAAACATTTATCTAGAACTTGCATGTGCCTGACCAATATTAATCTGTTTAATTCTCAAGACTCTATAAGACAGGCTTAATTGTTACCCCCACTTTAAGAGAACTTGAGGCACAGGAAAAACATAAAGAAGACAAATACAGCACCAGGCACCAGTGGCAACTTGTCATGGCCAATTAACTCTGGAGCCTGGAGCAGATGGTGCTTTCTATTTCAAGGTACTGAATTCCAAGAAAAGGGAAGAATGTTGGAGTGCAGTTTCAAAGTGAGTGAAAGACATGTCACAGAAGTATTTGACAGTTCCTATGGAATTAAAAGGACATCTGAGGTTCCTTTTCTCCTCTCCCCTCTGCCAAGCACAGTGCAACACTGAAAAACTGTGCTAAGCACCATCTCTACCCTGCCCTTCCATGGGCTTTGCTGACTCCAGGCCCCTGAAGTGGATGGAGTCCTTCACAGTCTCCACGAGGGGCTGTGCCTTTACCTGTCTCATCGCTGTACTCTCCGTCCGCACACTCCACACACTCAAAGCAGCAGGTGGGCTCCCCCTCAATGATCCCTTTCCTGGTCCCTGCCAGGCAGTCTCTGCTGCAGTTGGAGAAGGGCACCTGGAGGGTAGAGAGCACAAACTGAGTGGCTATAGCAGTGGGGTCAGGGGGTCAGTCCCACAGCTTCTTGGACACATGCAAGGGGGGAGGAGTTTGGGCACAAGGACCAGTGTAGCAGACTTCTGGCCCTTTCCAGGCAGAGGTAGGTCCAGTGGTCCTTGGTCTTGTTAGCTGTGAAAGGGAGTGATTCCTTTTTCTTCTCCAGGGTTGTAAAAGCTTGAGACAAACTAAAAGATACAGGGATAGTGACTTACACACAGAGGCTTAGTCACAAGGTTGAGGGATACAGAGACAAGGGGAAATTTGTTTGAAAGTGAGACTCTGAACTTTGCAGAGTCTTACAATTCTGCTTCTTTCCAGGGTGATTTCTGAGATCTTTGCTATAGTTCAGTGCAGCAATCAGGACAGGTAAGGAAGAATCCAAAGTAAGTGGACCAGAGAGCTGTCTCAGGCAACTAACTAATCAACAGAAAGCTGCAGGGCTCCATTACTTTCAGATAATGGTGATGGATTTTGTTTTATTATTATATTTTCTTAATGGACTTAAGGTACACAGTATCTGATTAGTGAATCATGATCCTTGCTTTCTTCCATCATGACTGGTTTATGTTTGGCTTACTTTTAGTTAGGCATTTTTAATGTCTACTGTCCAAAGCAAAATCCAGAAAGGGGACAATAACCTACATCCAACTCTGCTTCTCTCTGCCCTTTGCTCCTGCGTCTGCTGTACATTAATTCCCCAGAGGACATCAGCATCCTGTGTCCATTACAGGCAAACAAAAAATCAAACTTGTAAGGAAGAGATCAATCTAATTTTATACAAACTATCAGAGAATGAAAAAAAATAAAGGAACGTTTTCTAATTTATTCTTGTAAAGCAAATATAATAATCCTGGAAACAAAACCAGATAAGAACAGTAGGAAAAAAAATTGTAGGTGCCTCTCACACATTGATTATTTTAGATTGTCTTTGGAAGCAGACTGTGAGTTGAGGATTTGTGTACAAGTGATTTATAAACAGAAGTCCTTCCACTGGAAACAGGCAAGAATGCAGGATGTAGGATGTAGAAGGGGTGGAGGATGAGCCATGTCCCTCAGAAGGTAGCTTGTGCTCTAAGAGGGGTCCCTGGATGGTGGGCTCTGCCTCAGATGGTCCTGACCTGAAGAGGGGCTAGGGGGCTTCATACTTCCACACTATGGACTGGCTTAGGTTCATTGTAGGGAACTGTAAATTCTCAAGACTTTTCTGCTGCTCTGAGTCTGTGGGCAAAGTTGCTCCATTAACCTGCAGCAGAGTCTGCTGAAAAAGAGTCGTGCATTCAGGTTATGGGAATTAAAAGCCTTCAGGATTTTTGGTGCACACAAATGTAAGCAATCCTTTATTTTGTTAATGTAATAGGCTACAGTTATGAAATTTGTAGTATTTGGCTAACATTATATTCCTGTACATTCCATTGCCAACTCTACTGGATCATTATGTATTATATATTTTGTGCACTGCTGCTCTAAGTTTGCTGAGATTTTATTTACGATATGAGCATTTATAGTTAATAAGATTGCATCTTATTTAACAAGATTGGCCTATCATTGTCCTTGCTTATACTGTTCTTGTCGGTTTGGGGCCTTGAGATAATATCAGCCTCATGAAATGAGTTTAGTAGCTTTCTGTTTTGATTTATGTTAGACTGTGAGTTCCAAAATTTCCAAATAATAAAATGACTCCATAAAGTTGAAGTGCATTTCTCTCTTACATAAGTGTCTAGGGTTGTGGTCCAGAGTAACAGGGTACTCACAGTGTTGGAGACCCAGACTCTTTCTGCCTTGTTTTTCTGTTACCCTAGGCATTTGCCTCGTGTTCCTTGATGGTGGCAGGGTGTAAGATGGTTCTAGGAGGCAAGATAGAGGAAAGGATGCAGAAGACAGCAAAGGACACTTGCAAGCAGTTTCTCAAAGAAGATTCCCAGAAGCCAAGGCACAACACTGCCACTTAGATCTTATTCCACAGCCACACTTAGAAAAAAAGGAAGCTGGAAAATACCATCTTTATTCTGGGCAGTCATGAGTCCCAGAGTTCTATGATTAAAGAAAGAGGGAAGTGCAGAAATCAGGGGCCCCTAGCAGCCTTTTTAGCCATGCCTCTTTTCTCTTCTTCATGTGGTTAATGAACAGTCTGAAGGTCACATTGTGACCCTATTGGAAAGCTGAATTCATACCCAGGTCAGTTGTCAAAGTCTACACCTTTCGCCATAATAAACCCTGTTTTATACTAGTTAAGGATTAGAAGAATGTGGCCTCTGAGTCCTCTTATTTCATCCTACAACATCTGTCAGTCAAAGAGAAATCTTATCACCATCAGAGTAGGCGGAAGTGGCCACTGGAAAGATCCATTGTTCAAAAAGCCATCCAGGATCTCTAGGTCTCCCCAAAGACTTATTAAAGATACCTGTCCAATTCTGGCCAAGAAAGCTCATCTGACCTCCAAGTCCCGAATGAAGATGTCTATTTTAATTCTTATTTGTTGCAGCAAAGCAAGGGAAGAATAATTGACAGAAGAGTGTAGAGGACAGAGCACCTAGGCCCTAGGGTCTAGTTCTGGTCCTTATACCCTCCAGTGGGCCTGGGAAGTCACCTTTGCATAACTGAACCTCAGTGTCATCAACTTCAAATTGAAGGATTGGAGATAGGGGTCTTTAAAGACTTAACTCTGCAGTTCTACATTTGTAAATAAATTGAGAGCATTTTTTTTAAGATATGATACTAGAGGGCTGGAGCACTGGAGGAGTAGCTCAGTGGTAGCAATGATTAGCATGGCTGAGGCCCTGGATTTGACCCCTAGCACTACAAACAAACAAACAAAACATAACAACAACAACAACAACAACAAAAAACCAAAGGAAGAAATGATAATGCTAAATAAATATGACTTTGTATGTATATAGCATAATTCAGTTTAAACTATGCTTCTACATCATTGATCCCTTGATCTCATTAACAAACTTGTAAGATATATAAGGAAGTTATTAATATGTAATTTATAGTTAAATATACATAGCACTTTTTGGTCATTCCCACCAAAATTTTCAGAAAAGAGAGAGTAGATTAGACTCTAAGATTTGATGGGTGCATGTTATATGTTAGCTTTGAGGTATTGTTTCTATTAGAGTTACTTTATAATTCTAGCAATTATTCAGGAACATAAATGACTGAATGTGTGAGGATTCCCTGTGTTATTCATTCACTAATGTTTAAGCCCATGACACACATAGTTTGGTCAGGAACATTAAGATTATAGAGAACTATATAGGAAATAGCTTTCATGCAAGAAGGGAAATGAGACAGGCACCAATTAGAGATAATCAATTACATGCATTAATGGGGATGAAAGAATAACCCAACAGGTTGAACAGGTAATGGTACAATAAGTTTAGACTTCAGTCAGTTGAAATGTGTGACAATGTAGACAAGGGTATAATTAGCGGGCAGAAGATTATAACCTCTGGAACCCTAAATCCCCATCTGGAAAAGGTCAAGACGTGTTTGTAATTGATATCCACCCTCTCGAGTAGAAACTAATGAAGACCTTCACACTGTGGGTGGGATTCACTGTCTATAGGACACTGTCACACGTGAACCCCTCCTATGCATTGGGAAATAGTGAAATTGCAGCATCTCATCAGACACCTGTCAACCTAAGAAGCATCTGGCAACGAGATGAAGTTGAGTCTTTGGTCATATTGTAAGAAGTGATCCAAGGATGGCAGCAAAAAGGTAAATGCAAAAAGAAACACAGTGGCTCTCAGCCAGGTGTCCTAGGAGAGTTAAAGAGGGTGCCCGCCCAGGGTCTGGTTCCTGCAGAGAAGCTGGTTCTTAGCATCCTGCTACATTCTAGGGCTACAGCCAGCAAACAAGGGTCACCACTTCAGCACATCACACTTACGGTTATTGATCAGGCTTCTAGATGCAGAGATAGGCAGGACAGGGAGGCCTGACTATAGTCACAGGCATCCTTCTCTTTGTCACAGGTCTCTTATAGTAGGATAATAAATGGTTATTTTGACTTATGGGTCAGTACCAAGCTATATGGAGGACAGAAAACCACCACCTCTGTGTGAACTGTCAATAGTGATAACAGCAAAGGCCTCATCCTGAAGCATCCAGCTCTGTCCTGGGCTTGACTGTCTCAGTGGCAGATGCTGGTAGTTAGGGTAGGAGGTAAATCTTTGCTACATGCAAGATTGTCCCACTCATGCTGAAGAGCATCCAAGTGCTGAAGGCCTTTCATACTTCCTGGTCATTGTGACAGTCTAAAAAGCAACCCTTTCCACTCTCAGACTTATCTCCCCTACCCAGGGTAAGTAGGATTTCCCCTTTGATCCCAGTTGAGAGCCACTGACTTGAAAGATGTTTACGTTTGCTTACATATTTTGCTTAAGTTGGGGAAAGTTTTAGGCAGGGAGACTTTATTACTATCCAGGGAGTCATATCTCTACAAAGTAAAATTATTTGAATATAGTAAGAAGACACAGGACTCAGGTTCTAAGGCTTCTCCTGGAGTTCACAGGAGCCCTAGACACGTGGAGTTAGTGAGTTACAGAAAGGGCTCAATTCTGGAAGTCCAGGGGTGAAGCCCAAGGACAGTTTCCTGCCCACAGTGGTGGCCCCTGGTGTTCTGATGGACAGCACGCACCTCCCTGGAGAACCCACTCCACAGAATCTTCTCTTCGTTGATGAAGAGTCTTTCTCCCTTCTTGGCGTAGACGTTGTAATACCCAACTTCCTTAAACACGATGGAGCCATCCTCTGGGGAGAGGTGCCAGTTGATGATGGAATAGTTCCCTACCAGGTCACCACACTCGTCGAAAGTCACCTGCTCCCCCATGTTGTTGGTAAAGTTCAGATGCCGTAGGTGCTTCAGGACCTAAGGAATAACAGAGCTGAATGAATATGAGCCTCAAGGGTGCCACATCTGTTTATGTAAGTTGTGTACTCAAGAAGGACAGTAAACTATGTCATTCCAACAAAATGGAATGGACATGACTTAAGGAAGAGTCCTTAATTTTTCTAATGTTCCTTGAGGTACCTGTACATGCCAGCAGCAGTCATGGGCAGAAAACTCTCCCCCTCCCTCCCTTCCTCCATTCCTACCAACCTACCTTCCTACCTACCTACCTACCAGGACTTGAATTCAGAGGTGCTTAACCACTGAGTCACATCCCCAGCCTTTTATTTTATTTTTAAATTTTGAGTCAGGGTCTTGCTTAGTTGCTTAGGATTGCGCTAAGTTGCTGAGGCTGGCTTTGAACTTGTGATCTTTCTGCCTTAGCTGCCCTAACCACTTGGATTATAGGTGAGCACCACTGCACCCAGCAAGAAACACCTTCTTGAAGATCAGAAGGAGAAAAGGATACATCTCACCTGGCCTATCTCAAAGGACTTATCTCAAAGCTTCTGAAGGTGCACCGTCACCCTGAGGTACCCTGGGAGGGGCAGGATTTGTAGCCAGAGGCCCTTCCTTTCGTCATCTGAGATGAGCACTGGGAAAGGAGAGGAGGGATGCCTAAGGGCTCCAACTCTGTGCACCCTCTTTTGCTATGGTCTTGTTTCTGTGGAAGAGTCTTGCTGCTCAAAGTCACAGAGTGGGTGGAAGAAAGCAAGAAATGAGGCTGTAGGGGGGGAGCCCTGGCCATCACTATTGACCATCATGGCAGATACCAGAATTTATATACTTTTAAAAAATGGGTTACAAAGCCTTTGCAGAAAAAGTCATCATAATGATTATTAACATATGCTAATCATTTTAAATACTTGACATTTTACTCTATTTGAGGCATGATTCTAAGTAATTTGTATTTTTTATTTAATATACTTTTCACAACAAATACTAAGATTATCCTCCCTTTATCCACTGGAAAACTGAGGCACAGAAAATTTAAGTAGTTGTCCAAGATCACAAGCCTGTGTTCTCAATTGCTTTACTGTATAGTAGCGTTAGTGGGCTCCTGGCTGTGTCCTGCTGTGGCTGTGATGTAGGTCAGGAGGAGGCAGTGGGCACCAAGTTGCCTATCTTTCCTGCAAATCCTGACCTGTGTCATTGTGGTATGAAGTCAGTGGAAGACAAGGTCTAGGCCATGATGTAGGGGTGCTCACTTCTGCTGCACCTCAGGAGTCTATCATTCTCCCGCTCTGAGCCCATTTCCTCAGCTGTGTAATGAGACCCAGCCCAGCACCTGTTATTCACAGTTACCGGATGGGTGTGACAAACCATGACAAACCTAGTTACCCAGCCAGAGCCTCAGGAACACCCTGCATGTGCCACTCCACTCCAGAGACGACACTGCTTCTTCTTCTTCTTCTTCTTTTTTTTTAAAGATTTTTTTTATTTGTAGATGGGCACAATATTTATTTATTTTTATGCGGTGCTGAGGATCGAACCCAGGGCCTCGCACGTGCTAGATGAGTGCTCTACCTCTGAGCCACAACCCCAGCCCGACGCTGCTTCTTAACAGTTTATTTCTATGTTGACTTTATTTTTAACTAAACGTTTCTTTGTATACGGAAGGTTAGAGAAAAGGAGTCATCTGAATTTGTACATCAGCAGCTCAAAGAAGTGTTTGGGGGCAGAGTCGGTGGGAGGAGCCTGTGTGCTCCAGGCACAGCCCTGGCCACCTCACTGCACTGCGGTTTCTGGTTTCTTCAGTGTCCTCACTGCCCCCCTGGCTGTCCTGACTTTTGTTCCAGGTCTGTTGGGAGGGGACTTTCTCACTCCTTGTCCCCTTGTTTCTGCATCTAGAGCTACAGAGCCATTCTCAGAAAAGATGGAAGATGAATCCCACAAAGGTCTTATTATTCATGTTCTCCCTCTGGTCATCAGTCACACTCTGCCTTCATTTTTACTGAGTCCTTAAAGCACTCTGCAGAGAGCAGGAGTCCCACACATGCCCCTTTCTTAGCCCTCCATCTCCCCCTTCCTTTTCCTCCTTGCACTTTGATTGAGCTGACCTCCTCCCGAACTTGTGTGTACATCCCTTTCTCTCCTCCTACATGTCTATGTCTGGCCACATCCTTCCTCCCTTCAGGGGAACATGTGGCTCTCTGCTCTTTAACGCTGTTCCCTCCTGCAACTCTCAGAGCCTCACTCCTTCCACCTACTCTGGGTCCTTTCTGATAGGGCCCATCCATTCTTCTCCAAGCCATAATAACGCTCCTCTCATTTCCTGATGGGGACCTTCCACGACTCAGATGAAATATGCTTTAAAGTTTTCCAGGTGGTCCCCCAGCCCTCCACACTTGGGTCTCATATGCCTTTGATGTCTTTATGCTCATCGTGCATTTCCACTGTCCCTTCCACATGCCATGCTAACTCTGTCTTCACTCTGATGTGTGTGATGGGAGATGAGAAGAGTGGAGAGGCGGGGAACTACCTCTTGTTTACACATCCCATGTGCCAGCACTGGACTAATGCTTTATATACACTCTCTCCCTTATTCTTCACAATTCAATAGGCACCAGCTTCAGAGATGATGAGACTGAGGCAAAGAAAGCTCAAGAAACTTGCTGAAGTCATGCAGCTAGTAAGGCTAGAGCTGGGATTTAGATTTAGCTGGGATTTCTACCTTCACTAGAAATTGCTCAGTGTCCATGACAAAGATTTGTCAGAGGTCAGTAATATTTTCCCATTAACATTTTAAAAAGCATCACTCCTACTTGACGGAACAGACATATATGTAAGGGTTTATTTTAGGTTTTAACTTCATAGGATTAAGGAATACCTATAAATCTGGTAAAGTGTTCTTAAGGAGTGTGAATGTGTTTCTAGAGGAGGTTTGTGGGTGAGTCTGAATAGACAAGGTGGGAGAATCCACCCTCTTAAGAGTGAGTGGGCACCATACAATCTGTGGGGTCACAGGGGAACAAACACGGAAGGTAAGTTGGTGTTTCTCCCCAAGAGATCACATACACTCACCTCCTGCCTTGGAGTTCCAGGCTCTCTGACCTCTGGACCCCAGGATTTACACCCCAGCAGCGACTTTTCCATATTCTCAGGCTTTCTGCTTCAAGCTGAGAGGGACACCCTCAGCTTCCCTGGTTCTGAGGCTTGAAGTACTGGACTGAACCATGCTCCCAGCATCCCAGGGTCCTCAGCCTACAAACTACCTGCCATAGGATTCCTCAGCTGCCATGATTACATGAGCTTGTTCCTAAAAAGTTCCCTCTCATATATTTATACATATATCCTGTTGGTTCTGTTTCTCTGGAGAACTCCCTCTAATACAATATATACTAGTAAAAGCTTGAGTAGTTAGCATAGATTTCTTTCTTCCTGTTCAGGTTTCTTGGTTCTTAACATGCCAGGCAACAGGTTGCCTCTCTCGTTTTTACTGTCTACTAGTCTCTCTGATGGAACTCTCCAGACATTGGGGTAGGTGAGGGGAGGGGAGCTGGAACCATATTATTTCATAATTAGACGATTATCTATTACATTGGTCATATTAGACAGATGACTCAAAAAAATCTCTGGTTATAAGCTTTCTGTATTTCTTTTGGCTTAGAATGGATTGTCACTATATTTCTAACTTGAAAGAAGAAACCAATTAAAATCATTTTCTTAAAGATTCCAAGTTTGCACGAAGAAACCCATTGTACATACAAGACTGGACTTGTATACCACAGGGTTTCAACTTGACTGACTGCAGCCATCTTGTGTCATAACTGCCATGATTGTTCCTAAGAAACCCTGATCTGTTTTCCCCACATAGTTTCCCAGCCTATTATAAGCAGACAAACCATTAGAGTGGTATGAAGAGCTTTAAAACCTGGACCTTGGCACTGTCAATGCCAGGAATGTGTTTAATGTCTTTGACATTAGCTCGAGATAAACCAGGTACATTCCAGCTTGAATGAGGTCACTTTTGTCCTGACCATTGTATAAATGCCCTCCTCTGGATCCAAATTGTAGGGACCCACTGGTCTCACTACCATCTAAGACTATGCTTCTGTCAGAAACTCCCCAGTAAAATGCACTCTGTGCAATCTTGGATCTGCCTGTCTCTTTCTTCAGTTCTACCACACATTTAAACCAGTTCTTAAAAACTAGGACCAGCGTTTTCTATTTCTGGATACTGTTGGAATCAATCAACCAAATATTTATACAATATCCACTGTGTGTTCTGAACCATGCCGCAGAAATAGAATACATTGTCATCCAGTCCTCAGCAAGTTCATATGTGGATTAAGGTGATAAAAGAAGATAAATGTTTAATGAAACAGCAAGATAAAACATGGTTAAGGGCTAAGTACAGAGAAAGTCAGAGAGAATAGAGATTCAACAGAGCTGAAATGGCCAACATGGACTTGAAGCATGGTAGGGATTTGCACTGGCAAAGGTAGGGGGAAGTAGGGTGTTAAAAACAGGGGAACAAGTGTAGGCAAAGGTATCATTTCAGGAATAAACATGACATGTAATGGCGGCAGCAGAGACCAGTTTCTCTAAAACTGCATATGTGGTGGAGAATAAGGGGAAATATAGTAGAGAAGTAAAGAGAGGCCAAGGCAAAAAGTCTAGATTTCACGTCAAAATAGCATGGGGTCAGAGAATAAGAAGTGTTGATGAGAACATCTAGAAGCAGTCTAGAAACTGCTGGTGGGGATTTAAACATGTAGCCATTTTGGAAAAATGTCTTGCAGTTTCTCAAAAACTAGAATACAGAGTTACTATTCAACTCAATTTCACCCTTATGAATGTACTAAGCAGAACTCAAAATATATGTCCATACAAACACTTGTACACCAATGTTCATGGCAACATTATTTATAATAACCCAAAGTGAAACAATCCATATGTCTACCAATTGGATGAATGACATTAAATGGGATACTATTTGGCATGCATCCAAAGTACAGATGCATGCTACAATATTGATGAGCCTTCAAAATACAGTATTAGGCTACAGGAGTCACAAAAGACCATAGGTTGTACCATTTCATTTATGTAAAGTGTTCAGAGATGTCCATTAGGTGGATTAGTGATTATTTAGAGAAGGAAGTATGGGAGGGGACACTAGGGAGTGATAAAGGTCTGAGGTTTCTTTATGATGTGATTCTAAAGGGGGCTGTAGTCATGGTTGCACAACTCTATGAATATGTAAAAACATGGAATTTAATAATTTAAATGAGTAAATTATATGGCATCTAAATTATATTTCAATAAAGCTGTTTTTTTAAAAGGAGGTATGGAAAGGTAATTTAGAAAATTGAAATATGACTTCTTTGGGGGAGCTCATATTCAGCAGTAGGCAGGGACTGATAACAAGGTTGACTCTCGGATGCTTGCCACTGAGAGGTGACCAAGGACACATGGCAAGTCTAGTTTTAGAGTGCAGCAGGGAGATAAAGGACAGGCAGAAGCCAAAAGGTAGAAATGCAGACATCTCATCCAGAAAAGGAAGCCCCCTGGGACTTGTGTGACTGGATCTGGCTTTGCATAATGTTTTGCATTTTCTTCCTTATTGCAGATCCTAACCTGAAGTATTGCAGTGTTCATCCTCATAGCAGGTATGTAAATGAAATCACACGACTATAAAATAGGTGGTAGTCAAAATTTATGCCTCATCCATTGGAAACCAATGATTTGTTTATTAAGTCCTGTCCTTACGTCATTCCTATAAGTATCTTTAATATTTTTTTGATATGTTGACTTTCAAGCTTTGTATTTAAGCACTTTATTTACTACTGCATAATATTTTGCCTTTAATTCACATAACAGGGAAGATGGAGAGGAAAATCATTTTATCCTTAAGAACAATGATAGAGACTCTTTAAATTGGTCATTACTGACCCAAGAAAAAAAATCAATGTAAATTAAAAAATAAGTTAGATATCCCCCTCAGAAGAACCATTCTTTTGCTTTTGCAACTTTAGAAGAAGGAACTGATAGTTCTATTAAAAAAGAAACATAAATGTTTACCTGAGATCATAATTCAAAATAATATACTTCAAAGTTATTTGATTTGTGGGATAATATGGGAAAAAAATGAATAAATGAAGGAAGAGAAAGGAAACAAAAGACCAGAAGGCTCATAACCAACCTAAATACCGAGAAAGACACAGATCTGAAAGAAGAGGGAATACACCAGGCATGCACATGACTAGAAGGTCATATCCTCTTTTATGTGGTCATATTCCCATCTTGTGGCCTCTGAGGGTATTTCCTCTAAAGGATTTCAAAGTGGAACTGTATGTCTCATGAGCATAAATGAGATCACCTTTTTGCACACACTCTAAGCATCAACTGAACGTAGCCAAAGACAGGAGACTAGAAATCCACCACTGGAGAAGTCTAAGCTGGGCATGAAAACAGAACAAAATGATGAATAAAGAATGACCAGAGAGTATAGGTGTGGGAGTCTGATTTGAAAAGATTTCCAGAAAAATTTAAAAAAAGTTTGTGGTGGATAATGCTGGTGGAGACAGAAAGTGATGAGCCTCCAGGTGTGCCTGTGATTTAAGCAAAGATGCTATGCCAAAAACCAATGAGAAGATGTGTCCAAAATGGATAAATAGTTTGTAGGGAGATGCCAGGCAGGTTGGCTGCTGAGGGAAGATTTGAGAGAAGGCAGGTGCAGGATTAGAGGCTGAGATATTTAGGTTAGATTGTGCAGGTGACAGGTTTCCATCAAGATCTTAATGATGACAGTGTACTGCTGGTGCATCTGATGAACAGAGACATGGCTGAGGTCTTAAAATCTGGAATGCTCACCTGACAGCTTGGGTTATTGCGGCTCAAAGGAGACCTACAGCAAGCACACAGGATCCTGGGACCAATGCCCGGATATTATTCTTCCCTAGAGCTCTGATCCCATTTTTCTATTCATCTCTTCTTCTGTGTGAATTGTATCAGAGCATGTCTGAGCCAGAACACATGTTTATCTGGACAAGGATCAGGTGAGTTGTCTGTTTTGGCATTTAAGTTTCATCTGCATTGCTTCTATTTCCTCTTCCTTTTGGTAACAGCATCCAAATTTCCTTTTTGGGATCCACTCTGCCCTTACTCTTGCTCAGTCTCTGTAGTTTGAGAAGACTCAGCATCAGGAATGGAAATGTGTCCCAGGAGTGGTTAGTCAACATGATTTCTGGGGCTTTCAAAGGAGGTGCTGGGAAGTAAGGAGATCCTTAGTGGCAAGGGGTTTTAGCTCAGAGCTGCTGCAGAGGCTGAAAACAGCTAGCTCTGGAGACAAAGGAACAAAGGGATGGAGATGAAGCAGTTAGCAGTACCTGCCTGGAATGCTTCTGAGATTTTCAGCAACAGGAACCCCTACACTTCCTCTTTTTTTTTTTTTTTGTGTGTGTGTGTGTATGTTTTGCTCAAGCCTGTTTGGTCTGGTTTTCTATTACAACTGAAAGTTCTAATCTTGACTATAGTCAAACGCCCTTGTTTTTTGTTTTCTTTTTCTTTTTTTGTTTTCTCCTAGGCCCAAGTTCTGGCCTTGCCCATCTGAATCTTCTTATCTGGGAGAAGAGTCATTGAAAGGCCATCCCCCCCCTGGAAGCCTCCTTTCCCTTCCATTCCACCCTGCTCTCTCAGTCTTTCCAAGAGCTGGGATCGTCCTTGTATGGGACATGGAAATGAAGAATGGAAAGACAATAGTATTCACCAGCCAGAGATTGTCACTTTACCCCTCCTACTTTCAATGCCACGCCTTAGCATCCTGGTTCTGAAAGTCATTTTAATCTTTGACCTTCATTTGAGCTCCTGTATCTACTGGAGTAGAAGTTCAGAGCAGAGAAGGAAATTTTGAGGTTAAAAACTTTGGCCAGCAATGATGTTTGAGGGAGATTTTTCTACACAAGAAGTGCTGAGCACTTGCAGGTCTTGGTGCCCAGACAGTCACTCCTTATCACCACGTGGGAATCTCTCACATACATCATCTCATTTCTTTTTTTGAAGAATCATAGATGGACAGTAGGCCAGACCCTAGGTTCATTTTATAAAAAAAGAGGTTGTGACTTAGAGAAGAGTCTTGCCTAAGATCATACAGCTCAAAAAGAGGGTGCTGGTTGGAGCTGAAGTTGGGGGCTAGGTCATTCGTCTCGAATTAAGGAAACTTCACCCTACCCACAGTTATGCACTGTCTCTGATGGGTTAGTTTGGAACTGAGGAAAATATACAAGGGAGTGTAAAACAGAATCTGATTGAAAGAACAAGGTTCATATGCAAGATATGAGCAGCTTGTAGGATTTATCAGACTAGACTATTTTCTTCAGATGTTCTACTAAATGAAAAACATATTGTCTTTCTTATGTATAATTAAAAAATGCAAAACAAGTCTAAACTATAAGTGTAGGAACTAGGCTTAATTTATGATATCTATCTGTAGGTTCTGATATCTATCTGTAACTACTTCAGTGTTTCTTTTTGAAACATTCACCATCTAATCTATTTAAAAAGAGTTTTCTGTGTCTCGTGCATGCTTATGTGGCTGGAGGGTGGTCCAGTACAGGCTGTAATAGATGGCCAAAGTCATATCTGAGCACATAAAGCTCATTTTATAGCTCTTACAATATGTAATGTAGCAGGATGTAATAGGCATTCAGCGAACCCTGGTAAAGGAGCAGAATCTTTAATTTAGGCATTACAAAAAAAAACACTCCACACAGTACTAAATCTGGTTGAAAACTTTTAGGGGCCATACTTTAGGCATTCTGTATCAATGGACTAATGAAGAGTTGAAGTCATGGCTTCAAACAGTTAACCAAGTTAATCACTATCAATTTTGCAAAAGTCAGTTGCTCAGATATCTAAAAAGACACTTTGAATCCAAAGCACCCTCCAGTAGCCTCATTTAGATATTGCATTTTTTGAAGTAACTCTTGTCTTTCTTGTCTGGATCAGCACGGTTCTGCTTTATTATACAGCAAACTTCTCTCTGAATGAAGGACTTACCTGCCAAGCCTCAACCTTCTTGATGTCTGCACAGGAACCATTGGTAAAGAGCCCTCTCCCTGGTAAGCAGGTGTATATATCTTGCAGGGCATGAGCAATGGAGTAGACGGCTAAATACACATTGTAGGATATTCGAAGGTGTGTGTAATCCATGTAAGGCGTCTCCACACTGCTGATGTTCTCATCCCCTGTGCAGAGGGGTCGGAAAGCAGTGGAGCTGTTGCTTAACCTGCTGCCACCCTCCTCATGACTTCTCAGGAAGGTGTCCATGGGTAAAGGTCCTTTAGCACCTTCTTGGAGGTGGCAGTTAAATGTTTCTTCCCAAAACTCCTTGGCAAAACCATTGTGGACAGACTTCCTGGGATGGACTTTCTGCAGGAATTCCCGGAACCCTGGGATCTGCCCAGCCTTCAGAGCGAATCCGATGGTGCCTCCCACCACGTGGAAGTACTCGGGCATGGCGATCAAGGAGGAGCTGGCCCAGGCTTCGCTGGCCAGCCAGATCCTGCCTGTGATGTTGCGCCGCACGATCTCCTTGATGAGGGGCTCCAGGTCTGGGCCGCTGGAGAAGACGACAATGACCTTGGCTGTGGAATTCTGGATCACCTCCACCACCTGCTGGATCTCTTCCTCATCAGAGTACTGGGAGATGAGCTCGCTGAAGTCAATGCAGATGTCCCTCTCCTCAGCTTCTTCTCGGAACTTCTCGATCCCTGGCCGGCCATAGTCATCATCAGCTGCGATCGTGCCCACCCAGTTCCAGCGGAAATACTCGATTATGTCTGCCATGGCGGTGGCCTGGTGTTCATCATTGGGGATGGTCCGGAGGAAGGACTTGAACTGATTCTTGTTGCTGAGGAGTCTGCTGGAGGAGGCGTAGCTGACCTGGAAAAGAACCAAGAACTCAGAATGAGTGAGGGAGTGGGTTGAGGTGCTAGCTGAGCCAAAAGGCTGTCTCGGGGGGTTGTTTTTTGAGTACACCTTAATCTTGCTATTCACTGTGGACAGGATAAAAGGGTGAGAAAAACCAGAATCCGTTCCACTCCAGTGTGATCACCCAAGCACCTGTGAGTCCATCCAGGAGCTTCCTGATTCCTAGTGGGTGATTCTTCACAGTGCTACCTTCAAAAATAGGTCCAGTCATAGAATCAATCCAACAATAATAAGGATACACTTTTCTTTTTTTCTTTTTTTTGCAGGGGGATGGGTAGTGGGGGTTGAACTCAGGGGTGATTTACTACCACTCTACCATCCCCAGTCATTTTTATTCATTAATCTTTGTTTTGAGACAGGGTCTTGATGAAGTTGCTAAGACTGGCCTCTAACTTGCAACTCTCCAGCCTCAGACTCCGGAGTTGCTGGGGTAATAAGAGTGTGCTACAACAGCCAGCCCGTGCCAATATTTTCAAAGAGAGTCTCTCTGCACTATTTCATATTTCTTCTAACCTCCTCTCTGTGTTCCTCCCTGGTTATAACATACCCACGTACCCACATCTTCTGATCTGAACACTATAGCTTCCTCCCACTGTGAGGACTACTTTGTCCACAACCCACCTCTGGAAGAATCAGGTTTTCTATGGGTTATAAGTGAAGGCTCTTTAGAGTAGCTCTAGGTGGTTCCTTTTTTCCATTCTGCCCAATTTTCCTCTTCCTATCCTCCAGCTATTTCCCCTCCTCCCTCCTCTTACTCCCTGCCCCAAGTATTTTAGATAAAAGTAACCACAACTGCAACAATAATTTCTAAAAACTATTTGTTTTTTAGGTTTGATTAATTAGGCTAATTAAGCTTAGTCCCCATGTATCACAGTAACAGTGATGAGCACCCTTAAGTGGCATCAGGAGAGCCTCTTTCCCTCTCCTAGTTATCACTGGTTCCATTGCCTTCCAGGGCCCTTTCGTTCGCTCCGTTGCAGGTGATGGGGAAGCCCACTGGCAGGCTTCTGATGTGAGTCTCCACAACCGATAGAGGCTGGAAAGGGCCCTGGAGAACCTCCCCACTCTCTAACATAGAAGAAGTTCTGCATCTGAACATGGGCATACACCACCAAGGAGTTCAGAAAGTCTTGCCTTTGATGTGAAGAGATGACGAAGTGTCCAAGTACTGTTAGCCAGCACAGGGCTCCCCAGCTTCCCCCCACCCCCATATCATAGCATAGAAGGTAAGATAAATGGAAGAATCCCAGACTTCCCCTAGCCACCCCAAAGTTTGAGAAGGGCCACATCTTTGACAAGCAGGCTTAAGCCCACATGCGGCACTCTGTCATTAAGGCACACCAGTTAGGGAGCAACATGTCATTGGCCCATTTCTTCTGAACAATAAAACATTTTTATCCTTAATGAAATTTCTTCTAGGGGATGAGACAGTGTTAATATCTCTTGCTCTCTGGTTTTATAGGGAGTTTTAAAACTTCCTACTTAACAAGTCGAGAAAGACTTTTAAATATTTCCCATCAATTAAAACAATTATTTTCTATGTTAAATGTTTTATATAAAAATTTCTAATATGTTTCTTTTTTAAATCAATAAATAGTTTTGATTTGACTTTGAAAACATAAAAAGGGTTGATCTAAGAAAGAACCAGACCAACTTTCCTAAAGGGCAAGTATGATTTTTCTGATAAGAGCTTTGAATTCAGAAACTATAATGTGAAATCAATATTTTTTTTTCTTTTGTCAGAATAAGCCCCTCCTATGGTACCACAGAAATTCACGAGGTAGGTGATTTAGATGGCATTGTTTTCGAGAGCTCTGTTTGCAGACTCAAATGACAGGCTTCTAAATTTAGTTTGCAAATCTCAAACTTACCACTTTGTAAGTTCATCCATTATTGCTTGCCTCTTGATTTTCTTTTGGAAAATGGACCCAAAAGGGTATTCAAAGGATACAAATTAAAAATCAAAATATTCCTCAAGGATGTGTTCTCTTTGAGAAAGTATTTATAATATTTGACTTTGCTATTCCCCCACAAGGGGAAAAAAAAACCCTTAAAAACACATAGAACTTTTCTCCCAAGAGGGAATTTCATGAATGATTCAAAAAAACTGTTGCAACCATAATCTCTTCTAGCTGTTCTGCTTGCTCCATCCACTTGGTGGCGTGACAGGCATAAGAAATACTGCGGGGCGCCTGACCCCACTCTGCTACAGAGGTTCCTGGCCCCACTGTAGACTGGAATCAGCTGGGAGCTTTGGAAGCTCCAGGTGTCAGGTTGTGTTTCAGCTCAATTAAACCACATCTAGGGGTGGACCCAGCCAAGCAACTCCAAGTCACAGACATGGCAGAGAACCCCCTTGGTAGAAAACCTTATACTGGTTTGATTGATAACAAATACAAATTTCTCAGTTCTCTTATAATTCAAATCCAACTTCTCCTTATCTTTCATTTAAACAAAGTGGAATCAGAGCCCTTCCCTTCAAGTTCTTTCTTTATTTGATGGCAGTTACATCTTGTTCTGGGTGACAACTTACTTAACCATGTGTTTAAATTAATGCTGAATATTGTGTCAATAGTATTAATGCTGAATATTTATGCCCAACACATTTGTGGACTTTGTCAGACCATTTTGGCACAACAAAGTTACAAAGCCAGGGCTTCCCCTTGGGGAACACCTTTAATTCCCTGAAGTAAGGATTTGGTAAATATGACAAGGCTTTCTGTCATGTCACATGCATATAAAGGTATAATAGCTATCGTCACAGAAGCAGAGTCCTCCAGCAGAGAAATATGAATTTATCAAAGGTACATTTAAAATACAAATTTTAAATATTAAACACTGGAAAGATAAATTTAAAGTGTGATTTATAATTTGATGTAAAATTTCATATGAAGGGTATATCATAATTGAAGTGATTTTTACAAACATTTAGGCTGTTTCCAACTTTTCATTATTTTAAAGTGATGTCATAGATCTATAGAGAGGTTTGCTCTATAGTTTTATGGAGAGGGAATCAGGTAATAAGATGACATTTAGAGTTTGCTGTTACTTTTTTGAGGGTGGACAATGTAACTTTGAAGAAATGTTTATTAACATTTGTTTATTAATGTTAATAAACAAATGTTTATTAACATATGAACTGTTGGTATTCAAAAATGTAACCATATGGGGGCTGAGGATGTGGCTCAGTGGTAGAGCTCTTGCCTAGCATGTGTGAGACACTGGGTTCCATTCTCAGCACCACATATAAATAGATAAACAAAATAAAGCTATTTAAAAAAATGCAACCATGTATCCACCGAGGCTGAATTCCTGCAGGGAATTGCACAGGGACTAGCAGTTGTTCATATAAGATCCATAAATATCTGTTGAATGATTAGAATGGTCTCCATATCTGACATGTGCAAAACAACGATTAAATTTCTGTTTTGTGATAAAATATGCTATGCTTCCCTCTGAATGAAACTTTCAACCAAAGAGAAGTAGAGACTTGGAGGGAACAGGACCAGGGACAGATGTTTTAGGTTTGAAAGTTGAGATATACATTGTATAGACTTGTTCCTTTTAGTAGAAAAGAACAGAAGAAAGGTCATATACTAAAAAAAAATGGACTTGAAAACAAATAATTGAACACTGGAAAAAAAAAACCCTAAAATTGTATACTTACAAAGTACATTTAAAATAATTTTGGAAGAGTAGTGAAGGTTGACATTAGGGTCTCTAAAGTCCCCAGTGGTCATGATACAGCACCCTGAATGATTGCAGATTTTTTTTTTTTTTTTTTGGTCAGTGTTAAGCTAGTCTCTGGTAGGAAAATAGCTAACTGTATAGACACTGTCAGAGCATCTCCTCTCTACTCCTGCTTCTCTTGCCTCTGCCCCTAGTTCCATCTAAGAAGGTGTCAGTACCTGGGGAATGTAGAAGAGCCCCAGCAGATTGGCCACCGCTGTGGAGACGCCTGAGCCAGTTGCTCCCACCACAGCAATAGTCGAAGGGATGTGCTCTGAGCAGTTGCAGAACTCATCGAGGTTCAAAGAATCAATTTTGTTCTGGGCGACAAAACTCAGGGTGGCCTCTAAGGCCTTAGAAACAGTATTGCAAGTGTCGAATATCCTGTAACCCAGAGTCATGTTGGGAAGAAGGGCCGGGCTGCTGTTGATCTCCTCTATGGCAAATATCATAGCTTGTAACCAGCGAAACCCACGGAAATTGTACCTGGAAGAAAGAAATGGAAGAAAATGAGAGGATTTCTGTCCACCTGTGTTAGCATAAGGACTGGGCAGAGCTGGGTTTGAATCACGGCTCTGTTAGGCTTTGGTATTGTGCTCTTTGAGACTCAAGGTCCTCTCTGTAAAATGGGGAAGACACTTGTCCCTTGGTGGTTGTGAAGATGATGATGTGAGATAATTTGGTAAAATTCTCAGAATGGCATTCCCAAAGAGTTAGGAGAAATAATGATAGAAATTGTATTAGTAGTCCATTGAACAATTCATATCTGCTTCCTCTAGCAAAGAATTTGTAATAGTTAATGTGAGGTATGTTGATAAAAGTAAATACATAGACTTGGTCAGGGTGTGGTGGCACACACCTGTGATCCTAGTTGTTGGGAGGCTGAGACAGGAGAATTATGAGCTTGAGGCCAGCCTCAGCAACTTAGAGAAAACTGTCTCAAAATAGCATTAAATAAAGGGCTAGGTTGGGGTGGGTAGCTAACTAAAAGTGCTTACCTAGCATGCATGAGGCTCTAGAATTGCTGAGAGAGAGAGAGAGAGAGAGAGAGAGAGAGAGAGAGAGAGAGAGAGAGAAGAAAGTAACACATAGATTTAAAAAGATAAAGGACCAGGGAAAATATAAATAGATTAGAATATTAATATGTGGGAACCTAAAAATAAGCTCAGTTTTGCAGAGTCACCAATTTAGACCGTGCTGTTCTTGGAGATCAAAGGGCAAGGAGAGATGATGGTACTTTTGTAAACAAACAGCTAACATATAAAGGCTATAGAGAAACAGTGATCCTTCTGGGTGGTGAATGAAGAGCTTTAATATTATGCACTTTTGACTTATATTATACTTTCTATTAAAAAATGTGTGTGCGCTACTTTTCAAAGAAGATTATTTTAAGTAAAAATTAAGCGTAACAAAGAGAAATAGGGTTGGTGACACAGCTTTCACTGTCCCTGGACTAGGTTCAGAGTTAGGGCTGATTAATGTGCAGACACAGTGCACCAAGTTCAAAGAAAAAGCCTCAGAACACGGCAGCTTCTCCCTTTATATAGTGGGTTTCATGACTCAACTCAGTGACTGGAGAAATCTAATCCACAGTAGCCCACTTTAGCATTCAGGCTCCCAAAGTTCATGGTCTGACTTTTAACGTGACATTTTCTCTTTGTCCCTTTCTTTATGTTTCCTTCATTTATTTGTTCAATTAATTTGTTTTAAATCTGCCAAATTATTAAGAGATAGTAAAAAATTTTTGTTATAGAAAAACAGTGCTTTTATTAATATACTTTAAAAATATATGACTTCAGGGCAAGCTTCTTGCTTGATCTTAGGTCTATCCATTAGTGGCAAATGGACCATCTGTCCACATGGGTCATGTAACAGAAACAATCAACATCAGTGAAATTCTGCATTCAATTTTTCTGCATTTATAACAAAAATGTGAAAACATTCTTTAATATACTAGTTCTCATTAGAGCATGAACAAAAATCCAGTTTTGCTGGTTTTCATTTTAATTTTCCAGCTATCAGGAAGATCAGGAGAAGGGCTGAATCCCTTCCAGAAGTTGCAGTCTCAGAGAGGAAGTGCTGCTGTCTCCGAGAAGCTGGGTCAAATCTTGGAGCAAGGTCATGGGGCCTGATGGACTAATTAAGGAGGCGATACATGTAGTCGCATTTACTCTGCAGAGTCAGACCCTACTGCTAAGAGTTGCCTACTGCTGAATAACATGTTCCAGAATGGTCAGGATAAATTAGGGAGTATCAGATGGAGGGAACTGGAATGATGAGGGGTCTAGAAATTATGTCACAGGAGAAGAATGAACAAACTGAGGGTATTTGATCTGGATAAGAAAAGATTTGATGGGACATATTTGCTGTCTTCAAATGGCAGGGAGTCTGCAGAGAGTTGGATGTATTCTGCGCTGCTCCATCTGAGGTAGCAGGAGTAGGGTGTGGGCCAAGAGTGGGTGGGATGGGGGTGGAGGTGGAGTTTGTCTGCTAATGAGAAAGACTTTCTAGTAGGACTTGTTCCAAAATGCATTTTGCAGGTGCCTGGGCCTTGCTGAGTACTGAAGTTTATTTCAACTCTGAATTCCTTTATGAAAATAATAACAACAACAAAAAGAGCCGAGGCAGACCACACTCAGGTGTCACTGACCAACTGGGGCATGTAAGGTCAGTGGGGAATTTAGGTCTTCCATTAAGCGACACTGTCGTCAAGTGGCGTCACCAGGTGAACCTTATGACCTAGTTACCAAATGACTAGGCTTTAACAGGCCATCGATTTTTCTACTCAATATACTTGACATTTTTATCTTTAGCAAAAAAAAAAAAAAAATCTTTAGAGATTAAAAAGGGAGAGGCCAATAGGCTTTCGAAAGATAACCAATCACCCTATTGGAAAATAGAGACTCAAGTTTCAGAAAGTTATTCTGAGTCTAGTGCAGCTCAGTTCTTCTCCAACCTCCCAGAAAGGGACCCAGATTTGTCTCCTTGCTTACCTGATGCATTCCACGGACTCTGGCCTTGATTTCAGATCTTGATCTTTGGCTGCTACTCCAAAATGAATAGGGAAGAGTCCCCCGAGGATAATGTCCCCTTTCTTCTGGGCTCGCTGGTCGGGCCCATAGGCAGAGGAGTACCAGGCCAATGCCAAGAGGACCAAACAGCAGCTATGTGGCACCATGACTCTGCCTTCTCTCCAGGGGCGAGACAATGGTGCTGGTAGTCTGGGTCCCTTGGTGAGAACTTCCCTTTGGTGCAGTTTACACCCTGCGGTGGAGACACATGCCTACAGAACCATTAGTAACACAATGGAAGCCATGGTGTCGCCATCTCCAATTCTGCCTTCTTCTTTGTGGATGTGTAAGGTGGGTGGTCCTTGTGTCTCAAGAAGCCGCATCCTGTAGAGACTGTCTGGGGTGGTTTCTAAAAGAACAGAGACACAGAATGGATTCAACTAAACTTAAATCCCATCTTCTTATGATGGTGTCAGAGGTGGCTCAGAATTTCCATTTAGAGGGACTCAGAGGTAGCAGATTGAGAAGCCATGGTATAGAGTCACATTTTTATAGCACTTCATGTAAGATATGAAAAATTTTAATGGGCCATATTGTAGGACTGGGTTCAGTTATGAGAGGCTCCATTTTAAAGAGCCCTGTGATAAGCTAAGGTCTCTCTCCATGGAGGTTGCTGCTGGGTTGTCATCCATTCATCTCCTGCATAAATAATGCATGGGGTTGGCAGCAGCTCCCTGGATCATAATATTAATGATATTTTATTCATACACATGTTCTCATAGGAAATCCTGAACAAATCATATTTAAGTTTAAATCTGACTTTGAACCAGACAGAAATGTCAGAAAAGACTGTTTAGTTATTATGATAGCTCCCCTACCCCTTTTTGGTGCAGGTCTCTGGTTCCAGTTTGTAATGTGATACTCTGTAAGCCTTTAAAAAAAAAGTTATTATGAAGGACACAGATAAATCATGGGTTTCACAAAGCTGAACTGTTGGATCAAAGGAAAAGACTTTCTGCTATGGCATGATTAGCTTAATATGCATTCTTTGTTGCACCCTGTCTCACCCACCTGTGGCTCAATTACCGATTTCATGTTGATATTGGCTAAATGTAGAGACTTTCCTGCTGTTCAGGGCCAAAGCACTGAGCTGTCTACTGGACACCTTTACTTGGATGTCCCAAAGTGCTTCATCCTAAACTCACCTCCCTCTCAGATTCCTTCCTCCTTTATTGTTTTCCATTATACAGAATTACGTGCCGTCCACAAAGACACAAAATTAGAAGCCATTCATGGCCTCTTTTCTCATCATCACCCTTCATGTTCAAACAACTACCAACTATATTTTTCTTCCTAAATCTCCCTGGAATCTCCGCCCACTCTTCTTTCTGATTGTATGTGAAATCTATCAACATTTTTTACCTGAATGTTTGCAACTATATATATATTTTTTTGTAGTGCTGGGGATTGAACCCAGGGCCTTGTGCATGCAAGGCAAGCACTCTATCAACTGAGCTATATCCCCAGCCCTTAGAAACTATTGTTAACTGGCCTTCCCATCTTTGGTTTTATCCTTTGAAATCCACTTTTGTAAATCTCTGGATTTGGTAGAACAAGTGGTTTGGACACAGGTTCTGAAGTTAAACCTGGCTTTGACTCATAGTTCTACTACTTCCTAGCACAACAGAGGTTACAAGTCATGTAACCTCTGTAATTTCAATTAAATAATGTGCAAAGAGCCAATTGCTCAGTGTAACCAGTTAATTCATCACAGAAAATGGTAGCTGTGATGAATCCCTTTCCAGCCTCTCTTTCTGGCTTTCCCTTTGAACTTCATGTTCAGTTTTACTGAGCTTCCTTTGTTCTTCAAGGCCACTTGGCTTTTGAAATACCCAGACCTCCTACATGCTGTTCCCCTCCTTGGTCCCTTTGGTTCAAACTTTCCTTGTGTAACATCTGCTTATCTTTCAGATTTCAAGTGTTCACGAGTATGAGGCATGACATGGTAAACTGTGAGGCCTTTGTGTGAAGGAGAAAGGAGCCCCTCTGGGGCAGGCATGGCCTTGCATCAAGGTACACAGATGGGGGACTGGAGCAGAGACTGGATCTCAGCCCGCATTGACCTAACCTCAGTTGTGCAGTGAGTAATTTCAGGACTCCTTCAAGAGGCCTTCCCTGAACCACCAGGCTAGGAAGGCACACCTGTGAGAACACACCCTCTTACAACTTGGATCTTGGAGCTCCCCTCTTGGGAGAGCCATCATTCTTTATTATAGTTACATGTGGAAATGTCCAATTCTGAGCCCAAGCTCTTCACCATTGTCATCAGGTGCCTCTTGTCCCATAGGAATCTCTACTGGCCATTCGAGCTGAGGGCACCTGGCCTCACATGGAAGGAGCACCCTGCAGACACTCAGCTTCCATGGAATTGACCTTAGTCATGCCTCATGACCATCCCAGTTTTCAGACTCCCGTCCTGCTTTTAGATTTTTGGGCTTCATTTCTTAGACCTTGGTCGTATGTTCACACATACATTCAATGAGAACATGTGCTGAGGTCTGGGTATATAAAGGTGAAAAACACATGCATGTTTCTGTCCTTTAAGAGCTCCCGGTCCAGTGGGTAAGAGTGCTGGTGCAGAATATGAGAATTTGCATCAATACTCAGAAGTAAAATATAAAATCTTAACTTTGCTTCCTCTAAATTCAATTTTGTCCCCCATGACTGTCTGAAATAGTAAATGTTTAATAAATATTCGTCAGATGAATGTTTAGAAAAATAAGATACTTTTCTTTCTCCTTCTTTCCTTCCTTCCTTCCTTCCTTCCTTCCTTCCTTCCTTTCTTTATTAATTTTTTGATATCAGAGATTGAAGCCAGGGGTGCTTAACCACTGAGACATATCCCCAGCCCCTTTGTTTTTATTTTTTATTTTGTGACCTGGTCTCACTAAGTCCTTAGCGCATTGGTAAGTTACTGAGGTTGGCTTTGAACTTGTGATCCTCCTGCCTCAGCCTCTGGAGCTGCTGGAATGATAGGTGTGAGCCATCGTACCTGCTAAAAGAAGGGACTTTAGAGAGAGACAAAAACTGGCATTTATTTCTATTTTACATGCCAACATACATTCAACTGCACGACAATTTGGCATGTCCACTTTCTAGGTGGGGGACTAGATACTCTATATCTTCAGTTTATTCAAGTGAAAAATGCTGTTATTTGAATTAAGAATTCGTTAAGAGTTCACTGCTATACTGAATTAGGCAGGAGAGGGGACACTATAACTGGCTGGGTAAGTCACTAAGAATTTTTAGATTTTTTTCTGTGAAAGATTAACTACTTGGAGAAGTTTATTAACTTCATTAGCCTACTCAAAAGAAAATTCATGGTCAGAAGTAAAAGATGAAGGAGAGATTTCAGGTCAATTTGTAGCAGTTAACTTCACCAGTCTAATGTAGTCTCCATACCTCTCTTTATAGTCCTATTACCAGGGTCTAAATTGCTTTCAGTGTGGAGAATCACTCTGGATCCTTCATCTTCTGTTATGGTTTGGATAGGAAGTGCCCACCATAAACTTTGTAATTAGATTATGACGCTGTAACCTAATCAGAGGACTACTTCATTTGAGGGATTAATAATTTGAATGGGCTACTGTACTGGGTGATAGCTATAGGCTGGTAGGGAGTGGCAGGAAGAAGTAGGTGGGGGGCCTGGGGGCGGGCCTTTGGGGTGGGGCACCCTGTTTGTTCTCTGCTTCTGGGCTCCCGTGAGAGGAGCAGCTTTCCTCCTTCATGCCCTTTCCACCATGATGTTCTACTTCACCTCGGGCCCAGAGCCCGCTAGCCCTGGACTGAACCTTGGAACCCGTGAGCCCAGATCAACTCTTCCTCTTTATATCATTCCTGCCAGGCATGTTGGTCACAGTGATGCAAAACGGATGAACACATCTTCCTTTCCTCCAACGTCCGTCTCCCTGTCCTGTGATTCTGCCATGGCTCTCTGCTCGGCTCTCTGCTCGGCTTTCTTCCCATTGCCAGGGCCTCTGTCCCGGCTGCCACACATCCTACCTGCCCTGTTGCAACAGCTTTCTTTCCTCTCTAGCTCACTCGACATCAATAATCAGGGAAGGACCCAGTAGCTTAACCACTGAAGCTCATGGCTGTGTCTTCAGCTTGTAGTAGTTAGAATACAAGAATCATCACTAGTAACACTTGAATTTCCACATCTGTGGTACGGACTTCTAATTGGACTCCTTGTGTCTGCCTTCCTTTTATGATACAGTAAAAGAATTTTTAGCTGGACAAAGTGGCTGTCCAAAACACAGACTGCTATCCCAACTTCCTTTATGATCACGTGGGGTCCTGTGTCTAAGCGTTGGCCAATGGAATGTAAGCTGAAGTGTCCAGTGACAGTTTCTGGGAATCTAGCTGAAGAGAGTCGGTGTGCATTGTCATTTCAGTCCCCTTCCTTCATTCTGCTGCATGGAGGTGGATTTGACAACAAGCCCATCTGGAGCCATGAGCCCCATTCTAGGGGATGATGGTGTCAGGAGCAGAGGATCTCCTGGAGCAGGACCTCATTATTGGATTACTCCTGCAATTTCACATGATAGAGAAAAATACTTTTTTTTTTTTTTTAAAAATCCACTGTTGTGATATATTTTTTTTCTTACTGAAGTCATCTCTAACAGAATCTATCTGGGTTGCAAGTAAACTTATTTCTTCTCTTTACTGTAATTTTATTCCATTTAAATCATCATATCATGTTTGTCCTCCTGCAAAAATGTGTTAAATACTAGGCTGATGCCAATATTTGTTCTTTCTCTCAATGACCAATGCATCAAGGAAGAAGAAATGGCCTGTGGACTGCCTGGTTTTATGTTTAGAAGGTCCTTGCCATCACGAGGAGTGTTCCAGTACTGATAGGTGATTGCTCATTAAGTTTCTCATCCAAGACACACAGAACTGAAGACAGGGCAGATTGTTCTACGGGTTCCATGGGTCCTGAGTTTATAAATTCATGCAGTTATTGATCTACTCAAAAACCATTTCCTGGGCTCTCAATATACTAGACATGAGGGAGGGCACGACACTAGGGAAAGAAAGTTGAACTTCTTTCCTTGAAGGTACTGATGGTTTTAAAGTAGACCAAAAAGGCATTATAATGACAGGAATGTAGATGCTAGTGAGAGGCAGGAACTAAGTGTTGAGGGAGCACAGAGGATGGAGTGGTGTTGTCTGGTGATGGCCAGCAGACAGAATTAAGTCAGGGTGGTATCTGGTAGCTTCCTGAGGGCAGGGCCTGTCTCTTCCTCACCATGGTAAGAGAGCACTGCACCTGGGATTTAATAGATATTTCACAAATACTTGTTGAATGAATGAATGAGGTGTGACCAGTACAGGCCAGGGACTGGT